TCATTACTCTTTCTTGTTCTGTAATTAACTTAAATTTGTTAACTATATACATTTCTACACTGGCATTTTTATATAGCTACAGAGTTCAATAATTTTTAAATTATGTTCCTTTTCTGTGTTTACTGGTTTATTTTTTATTTTATTTTATTGAAAATAAATTTGACATTTAGAAAATTTTTTTATAAAGAATCACTTCTTTTTTTTTAAAGATTTATCAATTATTTATACAGCATCTGCCTGCATGTATCCCTGCACGCCAGAAGAGGGCACCAGATCTTATTACAGATGGTTGTGAACCACCATGTGGTTGCTGGGAATTGAACTCAGGACCTCTGGAAGAGCAGTCAGTGCTCTTAATCTCTGAGCCATCTCTCAGCCCCCGAGAATTTTTAAAAATATATTTTTTGGGGCTAGAGATGTAGCTCCATTGATAGCATAGTTACCTAATATGCCTATAGCCCTGGGTTTGATAGCCAGTACCAAATAAACTGCATGCATACAATCCCAGCACTCAAGAGGTAGTAGAATCCAAAGGCTCAGATATTCAAGGTCATCCTTGCCTATATAGCGTGCTCAAGACCAAGCCTGATTGCATAGGGTTCTGAGTCAAAAATTTAAAAAATATCCACTTGAGTGTCAAATACACTAAGTATAGCAGTGATTTCTTATCAGCATTTAAAAATGGAGAGATTTCCAGCTCTTGAGTGGTGAGGTGAGGAGGGAGGAGCATGAGTCGGAGGTCAACCTGGACTAATTAATGGGTTCAAATTCAGCCTAGACTACAAAGCATAAGCTTCTCAAAAAACAAAAAAAACAAACAAACAAAACATGAGATTTTCTGGCAAATGAATGGAACTAGAAAAAAAATCATCCTGAGTGAGATAACCCAGATTCAGAAAGACACATATGCATAAGTACTCACTTATAAGTGGATATTAGCTGTAAAAATAAAGGATAGCCAGGCTACAAGGCACAGAGAGGCTGAGTAACAAGGAGGGATCTAGGGAGAATGCATGGATCCCCCCAGGGAAGGGGAAATAGAAGGGAGCTCCTAGATGGACTAGACTGAGTAGGATGGGAGGAGGGACCAGGTAGGGAGTGGTGTTGGTGGAGGCTGCTCGTTCATTTCCCAGCTGCTCAGATCAAATAATCCCACAAAAACAATATTGTTTGGCCAATAGAGTAAACATATTTCTAGCTAGCTCTTATATCTTAAATTAACCCATTTCTATTATTTTATATTTTACCACGAGGCTCGTGGTTTACTGGGCATCTGTCTCCTCGGTGGCTACATGGCATTTCTCCTTGACTCCGCCTACTCTCTATATATCATTTTCAGCCTGGCTATATATTCTGTTAAGCCATTGGCCGAAAGCAGTTTCTCTACTAACCACTGGCAATAAAATATTCAAAGTATACAGAAGGGAATCCCACATCAGGGTGGGTGGAGGGAGAGAGTATGGAGAGAGACTGGAATTAGAGGGCATTTGGGGGGTGAAGTGGAAACCTAGCACAGTGAAAACTCTCAGGAATCTGTGAGGGTGAGTTCGTAAAGCTTCCTAGTAATGGCAGCTATGGAGCCTAAACAGGTTACCTTCTGTAACCAGGCAAGACTTCTAATGGTGAAACTGCCACAAAACCTTTGACCTACAATCTATCCTGCCTACAAGATGTGCTGGGGTAATGGTGGCACAGAATGTGTGGCAGGGGCCAACCAATGTCTGATCTAAATTGAGGCCCACTCCACAAGAGGAAGCCCATGCCGGACACTGCCTGGATTACCGGGAACCAGAGTTTAGATAGCCCAGAGACCTAGGGTAGAAAAAAAAATCAGTGAAATAATTCCTAATGATATTCTGCTATATTCATAGATCAGTGCCTGTGTGAGAGAGATGGCTCAGCAGTTAAGAGCACTGCTCTTTCAGAGGACCTGGGTTCAATTTCTAGCACCCATATGACAGTTCACAACTCTCTGTAACTCCAGTCAGTAACTGTAACTGTCTGACACTCCCAACCCAGACATACATGCAAGCAAAACACTAATAAAATAATCATAGCTCAAGCCTAGCCCAGTCATCAGAGAGGCTTCCTCTGGCAGCTGATAGGAGCAGATGCAGAGACTCACAGCAAAACATGAGGCAGAGAGGGAGCCCAAATTCGAGATTCCCACGGGGTCCCTCCCCTTGGAGTTCAGGGGATCCCTGAGGAAGAGGGGGAGAAAGAATCATGTGAGGCAGAGAGGTTAAGGACATACATGATGAGAACACAGCACACAGAATCAACTAGGCAGGGCTCATTGGCGCTCACAGAGACTGAAGCGGCAAGCAAGGAGCCTGCATGGATCTGCACTAGGTTCTGTGGTATGATTGTTTAGCTTGGGGTTCTTGTAGGACTCCTAAGGATTGGAGTGAGGGTGTCTCTGACTCTTTTGCCTGCCCTTGGGACCCTTTCCCTCCTACTGGGTTGCCTCAACCAGTCTTGATATGAGGATTTGTGCTGGTCTTGTATCTTATGCTGTGTTCACTTGATATCCCTGGGAGTCCTGTTCTTTGTGCTTGAAACAGGGTTTCTCTGTAACTTTGGCTGTCCTGGAACTTGAGCTGTAGACCAGGCTGGCCTCTGATTCACAGAGATCTGCCTGCCTGCCTCCCTAGTGCTGGGATTAAAGGCGTGTGCCACTACTGCCTGAAAATAAATAAGAGTTTTAAAATATTTTTTGAGTGTCTCCTTGTGTGACTCTGGCTGTACTAGAACTCAATATGTAGACCAGCCTGGCCTTAAATTCACAGAGATCCTCCTGCCTCTGCCTCCTGAGTGCTAAGATCAAAGGCGTGTGCACTGTGGCCTGACAGTTCTTTAAAATCTTGATTGGCTGATTCTTTGTAGGAAAAGAAAGTTGGAAGATCAGGCAATAGTGGGCAAGAGTTCTCTGAGGCAGCGATCTGAGCCAGGCACTGTGACACATGTTCAGAAGGCTAGGGCAGAAGGATTTCAAGTTTGAATCTAGCCTGAGCTATAGATTGAGACCCTGTCTCAAACTAAAACTAAAACAAAGACAGTAGCTGGGATCACAGCTAAGTGGCATAATACTTGCCTACCACGTGTGAGGACATTGGCTAGACCCCCAGTACCACCAAAAGTAATGAAACCTTATTCTGAAGACCGGGTTTGGTGGCACACACTTATAGTCCCAGTGCACCTGTTGGAAAAGCAGGTGGTCCAGAAGTTCAAGGCCATCCTTGGCTGTATACATAGTGAGTTCTGAGGTCAGCCTGGACTACATGACTCAAAAAAAAATCGAAAAACAGACAAAAAGGCAGCCCTCAGTGATGTAAACCATAGAATGGGCCTGGACTTACTTACATTACTTCCATGGCACTGTGCAGGTTTGAATGACCCCACCTTCCCATCCCAGCTATCTTGGAGCAATCAGATGTTGAGAGCTCCTGTTGCCCTGCCCTTCTGCTTCTCGTTCTGGAAAAACAAGAATCAGTCCCCCACATTTTATTCATTTATTTAACACATGTGGACCTCTTGCCTGGTGACTGACAAGTCCTGAAGACAGAGAAGCAAATGAAAAACACGTGGCTTCCCTTAGAGAGCTATTGATCTAGTTGAGAAGATGGCCCGCTGTTGCCTAGTTAAAAGTTAACAGGGAAAATTGAGCATGCTGGCTGCATACCTTGTAACCCAACACTCCATAGACTACAGTAAGAGGATCTTGGACTTTAGGCCAGCGTGGGTTACTGAGATTGTCTCACACAAATAGCACAAGATGGGACAGAGGTGTAACACCATGTCCTATCCTAGTTTCTTGGTTGTTTCTGAGACAGCGTCTCGCTATGTAGACCAGGCTGGGCCTTGAACTCATAGAGATCCGCCTGCTTTTGCCACCCAGTGCTGGGATTAAAGGAGTGTGGCACCACATCTGGCAGTTCTAGTTATTAACCTTGTGTGGGTACTGCATGACTATAAACACGGCATGTGGGAAGTAGAAGCATGAGGATCAGGAGTTCTAGCCCAGCCCCAGCTACATTGCAAGTTTGAAGCCAGCCTAGGCTTCGTGAGACCCAGAAGAACCTAGTTATATTTACCTTTTGGGTCGTTGTGAACATTCATTCATTCATTCATTCCGTTCCATTCCTCAAGCGCCCGCTAGTGTCTTTGCTAGGATCAGACAGTAAAATAGGAAAAGAGATACGGCTATATGTTCTCTTGGCACTAGCAGCCTAATAAAGAATAAATCAGAAGTTAAGATACTTTTTAGATCTTTTTCTTTCTTCTATTAGCTAGTGTCTCGTGTCTCATGCCTCGAGGGTGGAAGTGACTTTGAGTTCCTGATCCTCTTGCTTCCACGAAGATTACTGGTATACACATCTGTAATTTCTACACATCTAGATTGTGTAGAAATTAAATTTGTCAGCAAGTAAAAGAAGTAGCCGCGCTGAGAATGAGCCCCGTTCGGTTGGTGCGCCAAGGCGCACTGCCTGCGTCACTAGGAGAGCTGACGGATGACGTCCCGCCGCACGCCGCTCGGCTCGCCCCGAGGGGATCGCTTCTTGGCGGGCTAGCTGTGACTCGCGGGGGTAGTCTACGCGCGTACGCACGCGGCACTCTCTGCCCGTGGTCCGGGGACTTTCCCCTAGGCGAAAGGGTAAGGAACTGGTCCTCCGTGTGTAGCCTAGGAAACAGGCCTTCAGAGCGAGCTGCTTACCGCGCTGCAACGCGGCCATTTTATGGCTCTAAAACAGTTCTAATTTTCTGCTTATGGTGAGAAAATTGATCCGTTCAGTTCTAAATACAGCGAGCCACTGCTTTAGGCACGATACTTTATACTTATAGATCCTGGAGCCATTCTTGCTTAAGGAATATATAAATAGATAGGAAATTAACTAATGTAAGAAAGTCAGATGGGCGTGGTGTTATGCAAATATTACTTGGACCGCCCAGTGCGATGGGCGTGACCACCCGAGGCGCCCTAGGGCAGGAGCGGCTGCGGTCGCGTGCGCGTGCGCACTACGGCGGGGACGCCAACGCTGGAACGTGGGGGTTCTGGCGCACCTCCGCGGTGAGGCATGGCGGGCGCGGGCCCCGTGTCGAGTGTACTGGGGCTGCTGCTTGTGTCTGCGGTGTTTGGGGTCCTAGGAGAGCGCCCCAGCCCCGATCTGGGGGCACACCCAGGTACCAGCGAGGGCTGCTGGAGGGAGGCTTGGACTGCCTGGGAGAAGCGTCCTGTCCGCTAACGGGTGTCTTTAATCCACAGAACACCGCTCCCAGGTCGGTCCCGGGGCCACCGAACCCCGGCGGCGGCCGCCACCGAAGGACCAGCGCGAGCGGGCCCGGGCCGGAGCGCTGCCTTTGGGGGCGCTGTACACTGCTGCCGTCGTGGCTTTTGTGCTGTACAAGTGTTTACAGGTGCGGTCTGGCCGTGGGTTGGGGGAGTCCTGGGCCTCAATCTCCTGGGGGCGCCACGGTGCCAAGAACAAGACCCCGCTTCCCGGCTGCCCGTGAAGTGAAGACTAGTTAGTTCCTTGGTTTTTCCCACATCGTGGGGGTTCGAGGAGCTAGAGAAGTAATGGATGTAAGGCGCCTGAGAGATGATAGCTGATGACCGTTACGTTTAATCCTCCCACAGTGCAGTGAAGAGCGATTTTTTTTTTTTACTCGAGATCATTCACCTAGTGACTGATGGAAGTGAGATTTTAACCCACCCATAGTGTCTATGTGCGAAACAATGCGGTTACTGCTGAGGTTCCAACTTTGGCCCAAGAGGGTGTTAGTGTGCCAGACACCAAGCCTTTTTCATGTTCTCCTTGGAAAGGAAGGCCCGAAATGTGAACTAACAGTACATTCTGATGGGGCTGAACTAGAGAGTGGAACCTACCACCTAGGGCTGTATCTTCAGTTCTCATCAATTACTTGTATTAGGAAATAGAGACTGAACTAATTAGTGACAGAAAACTAGCTGAGATGGCTAGTAACGAGCCAGGCAGACTAGACAGGCTGGAATGAGGATTAATAAATGCTAGTCCTGTCCTGTGAATGGAGCTACGCGGTTAGGGAGACAAGCTGCAGGACTTGTCTGTGGAAGAGAGATGTGGGCATTGCGGTTGATAGGTTCACGGTGTGTTATAATAACCTACTTTGCAATTAAAGGGTCTGCCCCGTCTGAACAGTGAGAGAATTGTATCCTAAAACCTTAGGGCACCGCCTTTAAGAGCACTATATATTCAGTAAAACAACTTGGAGGGGTGATGTAAGTTGAAAACTAACTTGGCAGACTGGGGAATTCATACCAGCAGAAACTGAGGGAGCTGGACCTAGTGGCACAGCTACTCCAGAGGTTGAGGCAGGAGGATTGTAAGCCGAAACCTGTCTGGGCAATTTAACAAGACCCTATCTCAAAGGCAACGCAGAGGGTGGGGATGCTAAACAAGCAAGCAGGAGTACGGCCGGCCAGTCTTCAGATTCCTGCTCTAGAGTCTCACATTCCAAGGAGTTCTTTTGGCGGTGTAGCCATATGTGGGCATACCGGCATGTTCTTTCACATTCTGGGTAAGCAGCTGGACTAGAAACTATTGTGATTCTGAGGTGAATGCCCGGAGCTTCCTCTGGTCCCTGCCTTTACTGCCATTGAGGACTGAGGTGCTGCAGCTTTACCCTTTCCCGCTTCCACAACAGGGCCCGGATGAGGCTGCCATTCTCCAAGAGGAAAAGAAGAAGAAACCCTTGCAGGCAGGTGGGTTGAGCAGCTGTAGTGGTGGCTTTTGTGGGGGAGTCGGTCAGGGGACTCCGGGAGGAACCATCTCATCTACCTTCCTCCCAGAGCAACAGCTGGTGCAGTTGACACAACAGCTGGCCCAGACAGAACAGCATCTCAACAATCTCATGACCCAGCTGGACCCCCTTTTTGAGCGGTGAGAATCTGTGGGGTGAGCGGGGAGCCACAGAGACAGATTGAGCAGATCCTGAGTGAGTATTTCTGCAGGGTGACTACACTGGTTGGAACCCAGCGGGAACTCCTCAGCATGAAGCTCAAGACCGTCCACCATCTCCTCCAAGACCGCAAGCCTGACACGGGTGTGCAAGTTCCAAGTATACGATCACAAGGTGATGGCCGGGAGACAAAGCCCGCGAGACTGTATCCAGCTCATCTTTCCCTCACAGAGGTCAGCATACCCTTTCCTGAGGACTTGGGGAAAGAGGACCAACAAGAAGCTGGGAACAGTCAGACCTACGAGGGGCCCATAAACTGGAGCTCAGATTCATGGAACCTAGCTCCTTCGTGGGAGGTGGAGCAGGGACTGAGGCGTAGATGGCACAAGACTGTCACAAAGGACCCAGCGGTGAAGGGGGGCAGCCACTGAAGGGTCAGTAAAACCAAGTCACCTTGCCCTGGGTGCTCGTTTGTGTTTTTCCTGCTCCCAGCTGGTCAGACAAAGGAATACTAGATGTGTAAGCCAGCTGGGCCTCCCAGAAAAGGTTCCCTTATTAGGAAAACAGCATTCCAGAATTCGAAGAAGACAGAGGGAGCTACAGTTCCTCCCTGTACTCCAGAGGCTACTGAATGCCAGCCGTCAAGGCTCAAACTTCTTTTTCTCGTGGTTTAGACAGAAAGTTCTTTCCAAAAACACAACAAAACAGCACTTTATTAAAATCCAGCAGGGAAATAAATTATAGGACTTTTAAAACATAGGAGGTAGTTGAGGAAGATCTGGGGTTCAAGGCCAGCCTGGGCTACAATGAAATCTTGTCTCAAGAAAAGAAAGAACTATACAGTAGCTAGGTATGGCAGCGTACACCTGGTAAACACAACACTTGAAAGGCTGAGGCAGGCGGAATTCAAGCTCACATCAGCCTGTGTCACATAGGAAGACCCGTCTCAAAAGTGAAACAAGGACCCATTGATAACGAAAAGGGCCTCCTATACAAAGCTGCAGATTGAACAGACAGCGAGGCTCCCCCGGTGGCATGGGGTTAAAGGAGCTGGATCAGCTGGGGCTCAGCTAGGTTCAAGCCTGCTTTCGGATTCTTGTTTTGTTTTTTAAAACAAGACAGGGTTTCTAGAATTCTCTCTGTAGACAGTGCTGGCCTAGAACTCAGAGATCTTCCTGTTTCTGCCTCCCAAGCACTGGGATTAAAGGTGTGCGCCACCACTGCCAGCTTGCTTTCTGATAAACTAGTTAAATGACCCGTGTCAGCCCCATGGAGGGCCCTGTGGTTCCAGTGTTGAACTCAATTCCCTTTTGTTCTTGGCTCTGCCCTATCCCTGAGTATCCTGAGTTCTGGAATTTTAAGATGCTTCTTAGGCATGCCCAGCTGCCACATATATCCCAGGATAGCACATTTGTAGATGAGAGCATCGTGTTGCAGTAAGGTTGGACATTTCTAGCTCTTCTGACTCCTGTGGAAAGAGAAACAGTTCAGGCTGGAATGCGTGCTCTGTTCAAACAGTCACCCGTGGGCATGGGGGAGCCCGGCGGTGAGAGAAGCACCCCTTTCCAGCTCAGGAAAGGGCACAGCTTACCTGATGGCCATGGTCAGGCTGTGGTACCATCGTGACAGCTCCTCATGGTCAGTGGACATGAGTAGTAGCTTCTCATGGGGGAAGGACAGCTAGGGATAAACCGCTTTAGTTCAGAACAAGTCAGGCCGAAGCGGTCACCGTTTCCACGGCGGCCACTCAGGGATAAGAGGGTGACTAAAAGGAGAGCTTGGCCCCAGCCATCCCCTCACTCTCATGGAAAGGGGCCCAAGCCAAGTGATACGCTGGTCTCTGAGTGCCTGTAGCATATCTGAGGCCCAGATTTCCCATCTACAACTTACACTGAGCAGACCACCACAAGTTCCTCCCGAATGGCCAAAGACCCTGTTAAGTTGACACTGGGACATAGGGTACAGGGCCCTGCAGACAAAGGTGCCACTCTTCAGCAGGTGCAATGGGGGTCGAGGCTTGGCCATGAGGAGCACATCAGAGAAGAGGAAGAACATGCGGGGCCGGGGCTCCCCAGTGGGAGGCACCACTAAAAGCCAGCCCTGCCGCAGGAACCATCGCCCTACGAAATGAGAGCCGTTATCTTGTACACATCAGAATCCATGGGAACACAAAAGGGCAGGGAGGTATATGTTGGCTTTGAGGTTTTTGTTTTTTTAATTATCGTATGTATATGTAGAGGTTGGAGGAAAACTCCAGGGAGTCAGTTCTTTCCTGCTACCTTTACGTGGGTTCCGGGATTAACTCAGTCCATCCAGCAAGTGCTTTCACCTACTGAGCCGTCTTGCTAGCCCAATAATATGCTGACTTTGTAAAGGAAGAGAAGCAAGTAAGAAGGGGTAATGAGGTCTGAAGGGCAAAGTCCACGGTCTACCTGAGGTAAGCCCTTTTGCCTTGCGTCCACTGAGTAGAGCCTGGACACGGAGGAGGTGCTGGTCATTCTTCTGGCTCTGGCCAATGGCGTGGACTCTCTGAGCAGTCTCGCTTACCAGGCGGGCAGCCCCTGGAACAACACCCTCTACTTCATTTGCAACAGGACTTAGGCTCTGCGTGGCTACTGGTGGTAAAAGGCAAGCTAGTCTGGAGGGGCCTGCATCAGGCTCCAGCTTAAGAGGCAGGACACTTAGGGACACTATACACGTAGTGGGAGATGGGGACATACCAGGCATGTTGGAGGTCAGAACCAGAAAGGCTTTCAGGACAGGCAGCCTCTGCCTGAGTTGGAGAAGAACAAGAACCTACGTGTGAGCTGTTGGTAGTCGGGGCTGTTGGGAACTGTGTTTTCGGCCAAGGCCACGACGAGATTCTCGTACCTGGAAGTGGACAATTGGAAGAAAAGGGAAGTAGAGCCAGGCAAAATGCCCTGGTTTCAAATGTTCTGAAGAGCAGCTCCCAGATGTTCATTCCTTAATTATAAGGTCAGGAAAGGCCTGGCTGCTCTGCTGCCCCTCTCCAACCTGGGACTCAGAATCTGGGCTCACACTATGTAGGCCACTTCCATCCCACACTGAAGAATCAGTGGCCTACTGTAGTTCAGGAGGCTGGGTCAGAAATGGAAATTAATCAAACCAAGGAGGCTACCACAGACAACCTAGGAACCCCGGAATAGGCCTTCGAGACCTAGCTAACCCCACACCCCAATGAGCTTTTCTGGACAGCCTGTCTATGCCTTAGTGCAGGTTCCCTCCCTTCAGTATGCAGTCCCGCCGCCCCGGTCTGAAGTTGCAGGCACTGGGTATCCCCTATCCCTATACGTCAGCACACAGTCCCACAGCCCCAGGTCTAGGCTGCAACCCCTGGGTACCCCTGAGCGCTCACATTTACTCTGGTAAAAGCTCCTTGGGCTCAGAGGGGCAGAGCTGGGATAGAACCTACCGCAAACCCCACAAAGCTGTAGGCAGCAGCTATGCAGGCAGAGGAACTAACTAGTGTAGAGGGGTTCACTCACTGCTGGAGCCGCTGCAGAGGCAGAGGGAGCAGGTCCTGGAGTTGAAGACCCCTAAATTCAGGGCGGCCTTCCTGAAGCCGGACGAACCTCCGAAAACGTTTATTCTTCTTCAGCTGCACCTGAATCCATAGGGAGAGTTCGCATCAGGAAGAGAAACCACTCCCTTATATTATACTCTGTGTACACACGCTCAGCCTTCAGCAAGCAGTGCACTCCCGAGGGAAACCTGGTACTCCTGGGAATGTTAGTAAAGAGCTGGGTTCTAAATGCAAAACACTATTAGTTTAGGTCTCTAGATTAAGAAGGGGAGGTGGAAGAGAGTTACCTGAAGGATGGCCTGAGAACTCTCTGCATTGGCAGCAAACTGGGTGTAGAGCTCCAGGTGGGAGCAGAAGCCCTCTAGCCCCGGCCCCCAGTGCCCTTCTTCCAAGTAGGGAAGCAGCTCTCTGTGCGGGCAAAGGACAATAAAAAGGCAGGCCAGCAACTGCTCAAGCTCTCCCACATGTACCTCCCACAACCCTGTCTCGGGGGCAATGCTATTATCCCATTTTACAGCTGGAGCGCAGGCAGGTTGGGGCATTGGGCCAAGGCCACAGGTGAAAAAGTTGGCAGATGAACTTGGCCTTTCCGGCTAGGCTGCAACGCTTCCACTCACAGGCTAGCGGCATAGATATGTTCCCAGTTCCCAAACAGGGCCTGGCGCTCTGATGGTCGTAGTGTCCCCTTGGCTTTCAGGATCCCCAGGAAGTACTGTGAAGGGAACGAATACAGTTTTCTCAGTCTGTCGCAAGAGGAAGCCAACGTCGAGGTGCAGCCAGATACTGCAGAAGTCAGTCCGAAGTAAGGTCTGAGACCCTCCCATACCCCCGCCGAGCCCCACCGTGGCCACAAGGCCCAGTTGTTCCTGGTAGCGCCGCTCGGTCTCCAGCAGCTCCCGAGCGGTGCAGACACGTTTCCGTTCCCAACGAGCACGCTGCTGTCGCACCGGGCAGTGCGCGGTGGAGCCTGGGCTCTCCATGCCAGAGCCGGGGTTCCAGGATTCCCGCAGCGTCGCGCCGGAGATTCAAATTCCAACCGCTCGAGGGGCGGGGCCGCGGAGGTGCGGCCCGGGAGCACAGAGCATGCGCGGGTAGCGGCTCGTGGGGTGGGTCCCCTCTGCTATGTCTGCCCCATCCGCCAGAGCGGCGCTCTAGGAGCGCTGCGACGTCGCGCAAATGCCAGGTGTGGCTGCTGTGCACCCGGTTCAAGGCACGAAGGAGGCACAGCTGTCTGAACAGACAGGAGACTACAAAATGCAGACGTTGACAAGGACTGTCTAACTCCAGAATTGAGAATGTGGGGATAAGTACCGTCCATACTACGTCCTGAACCCAACGTCAAATAGAGAAGAAGTTGGCCAGTCATTCCCAGTGCTTTCACCAGCTAGGAACCTTTGAACTTTGGACCAAAGTGCACAAGTTTTAAGTTACTATGTTTCTTCATTTAGTTTTTTTTTTTTATTGAGATAGGTTCCTATAATGTAGGCTGGCCTTGAACAGAATTTGAGGTTGACCTTGGTTTTAGCTGCCTGCCTTCAGCTTCTAAATACTGACGTTAGTTTTGCAGCGTCATACCAGGCTTATGAGGGACTGAGATAAACCCACTCATGCAAGTACTCTACAGCAACATCCCCAGTCCTGGTTTTGTTGTTTTGTTTTGTTTCGTTTCATACTGATCTAAGCTTGATCACAAACTAGCTTCAGGCGAGGAGTTGGTAACATGGTAGTTTGGGTTTACTGGAGGTTTTTTTTTTTTTAATTTTTCTCTCATAAAATACATTCAAACCACGGTTTCCCCTCCCTGCACTCCTCTCAACCCCCCCCATACTTCCTCTCTCCCTCATTCTGATCAAGGACAAAAGCTTTGATGTTACCTTATCAAAAGCTGGGTTATCTTATCAAAAGGAGAATGTTCTAAATTTTCCTTAGGACTTTGAGGAATTGGGTATACCCCCCGTAAGGTAAATTTGCAGGAACATTTTGTCAATATGTCAGGAATCTCTTTTTAAAGATTTTGATGTTTAAAAACTATGTGTATGTGTACGTGAGAGTGGGGTGTGTGTATATGTGAATGCCAGTGCCCAGAGTCCAGAAAGAGATGTCCTATGAGCTGGAGTCATGAGCAGTTGTGGCCACTCGGTGTGGGTGCTGGAATTCTCCCAGGAGCTGGAGTCATGGGCAGTGTGGTCACCCAGTGTGGGTGCTGGGAATTTCCCAGGAGGAGTCATGGGCAGTGTGGTCACCCAGTGTGGGTGCTGGAAATCAAATCCTTGTCTTCTGAGAAAGCAGGGAGCACTCTTAACTCCCCAATCTTCTCTCATACCGATAGACAAATAATTTTTAAAATAATAAAAACAAATATTTTTAAACAAGGGGAAGGGTCTAGAGATATAGTTTATTAGTTAAGAGTGCTGGCTACTCTTCCAAAGGACTCAGGTTGAATTCCCACTACCCACATGATGACCCATAACCATCTGCACCTCTAGTTCCAGGGGATCAGGCACCCTCTTGTGGCTGTCTCAGGCATCAGGCATGCATATGGTACACAGACATGTAATTGAACATTTCTGTCCAACCCACCAGTTCACAAATACCTGGTAACCATTTCCCAAATAATTGACTCAAACAGAGGCTTAATATAAATTATAAATGCTTGGCCAATGGCTTAGGCTTATTACTAATTAGCTCTTACATTAAGTTAACCCATATTCCTTATTTACCCTCTGCCATGTGGTGGTACCTTTATTAACATGGTACATTCGTCTACTCCATCTGCATCTGACTGGCAACTCCTCACTCCACCTTTTCCTTCCCTTAATTTGGTCACCCCACCTATACTTCCTGCCTGGCTGCTGGCCAATCAACATTCTGTTAAACCAATTCAAGTGACAAATCTTTACAGTGTACATCAGACATAGGCAAAATACCCATACCTATAAAATAATAAAATAAGGAGGAGGAGTGGAAGGACAGGACAGGGGGGAACTGGGATTGGAATGTAAAAATAAATGAATTTTAAAAAATAAAATAATTTTAAAAAAAGTATTTATTATGTATACAGTGTTCTGCTTTCACAAATTCCTGCACACCAGAAGAGGGCACCAGATCTCATTATAGATGATTATGAGCCACCATGTAGTTGCTGGGAATAGAACTCAGGACTTCTGGAAGAGCAGCCAGTGCTCTTAACCTCTCCAACCCAATAAAATAAATATATTTTATTTTATTTACATTATATTGTACTTATATATAATAATTGATAAAATTTATATTTTATATATTTGTAAAATTTTGTTTGTATTGTGTTTTATTTATATTTATGTATAAAATAAAATAAATATTAAAAAGTTCAGCCAAATGTGGTGGTGTACACCTTTAATCCCAGCACTAGGGAGACAGAGGCAAGAGGATCTTTGTGAGTTCAAGGCCAGCCTGGTCTACAGAGCTAGTTCCTGGACAGCTAGGGTTGCACAGAGAAACCCTGCCTCAAAAAACAAAAATTCTCTCGATAGATAGATAGATATGTAGCGAGAGAGATATCTACATATATCTATTTGTATTTTTTTTCAGACTTAAGGCCTACAGAAAATTGAGATTTAAAAAAAGCATTGTCTTAAGACACTTGGTTTATGGATATATTTTAAAAAAATCAAAACACTCATAGTAAGTATAACGCCAAGAGAGAAGAGAAAAGGCAAGCGAAAGAGAGCTGTGTATGTAATGTGATTCCCTCTGCATAAAAAGATACATGAAAGGCTGAAGGCTAAGCAATCAAAACCTAATTGTGGTTTTTATCTCTGGGGGATGAGACAGAATATAATTGGACAAATGAGTGTCTACCTGTGCCAGGCAGTGGAATCCCGAGGCTAAAGGTCTAAGAGAGAATGGCACAAGTCGGGGGATATTTTAATTCCCCGAGACCCTTCTTCATGTTCCCCAATTTTCCTTCATTGGCTATGCACTATTTTGTAATTATAAAATACATTTTATATTGGAATACTAAATGTAAGAAACATCAGACCCATTTCTTCCATTTGGACTCTTAGGAATCTGGGCCCCAAGCCAAGAAGCAGGGGATTGCCGGGGTTCTAAGCTCCCCCAGCTCAGATATTCTAAGAATCCTGAAAATGTTAAATGCTGGGCTTAGACCAGAGAACAGCCTGGAAACCTTGGAGAAATGGAGAGTTTGGAGCAGACTATTTCTTTGGTTTGGGTTCCAAGAGAACTGGTGACACCAGGTTAAGGGCCAGTAACACTGTCTCAAGTGAATGCAGAGAAACTGGAATGGTGACTTACGTCTTTAATCCCAGCATGTAGAAAGCTGAGGCAGAAGGATTGCTGCAAGTCTGAGGGTAGCCTGGGCCACACAGTGAGACCCTGTCTCAAAAAAAATCAAAACAAAAGAGAAGCAAATAAAGGGCAGTCCATGCTAATACAGCTCAAATGTGGGTGAGCACAGATAATCCCATGGGGATCCTGTGAATCTAAACAGTAAGAATAGAGGGGCTACAGACACAACTCAGGGGCTAAAAGCACTGGCTGCTCTGGTATAAGACCCAGGTTCAGTTCCCAGGGTCTGATACCCTCTTCTGGCCTCCTAGGGCTTCTTCATGCATGCCATCACTGGGCCATCACTGGTCTTGGGTATGTTTGAGTATGTCACCGGTCTGTGGGTGGGAGAGGAGATGGGAATAGAGCTCACTTTGAACTCAGGTTGGGAGCACTGTCTAATTGGTAGAAGAGGGCACAGCTGAGGATGAGGAGACACACTAAGGACTTCTTGAAATATATCCATTTCGGTTCTGCTACACGGTGGCCACATAAAGACATGTCCATAGCCCAAGAGTGTAACCTTACCTGGAGAAGGGGTTTTTGCAGCTATAACTAAGAATTTTTGTTGTTGTAACATGTTTTTTGTTTGTTTATTATTGTTATTATTATTAGCTATTATTGTCGTTATTATTACTTGAGACAGGGTCTCACCATGTAACTTTGGCTGGCTTCAAACTCACAAAGATCTGCCAGCCTGTACCTCTCAAGTAATGGGACCCAAGTTATGCACCACTAGAATCCAGGAATGAACAAAAGAGGTTCTGCCAGAGCCTCTGAGGTAACCTGGTCCTGCCTATACAACTTCAAACTGGAGGCCTACAGAACGTTGAGAGTTTTAAAAATCGAATTGCCGTAAGACACCTGGTTTATGGGTTTATGGTGATTTTTATGATAGCCCAAGCAATAATAGTGTGATGGGCCAGCCTCAAGACCTCAAAACAGCTTTGGTCTTGCCTTCCAATCTGTGACTAGGGAGAAGGGGGCTTCTCTCCCGCTCTACCAGTGAGTGGTTCCCTCTTCTGTAACCAAGGGCTAATCAGAAACCTGGTTTAGGAATGTGTTTGTCCGGGTTTAGAAACACAGATCCCAGTGACCAAAGACTTGGCTTTAACAACCGCGGAGGTGTACTGTGCCAGGCGGGGAGTGTCCCACGTGGTTAGATTCAGGATAAAAGGACTCAGAGCTCAAGCTTTAGGATTTGGCCGATTCCTGGGTTATAAAGGTGTGATCCAGGATCAGAGTCCACATCTCCACCCACGGCAAGGAAACGGCCGGCAGTATGGAGAGATAGAAGGGCACGGAGCTGTAGAGGACATTGGGAAAGCTAGCGAATGCTGCAGATCCCTGCTTGGAAACACAGACGCAAAACCCTACAAAGGAGATGAGGAAAGGTGGAATCACGGTGCTGTCGGAAGGAAAATGAGTAAAAGCTGAGCTCGGTGTTAGAGAAAGGGATCCGTGCAGCCCCCAAGCTCCAGTGTACAGTATGGTCCTCTCTGTTCCCATGGCCTCTCCCTCCCAGACTAGTCTACTTATTACCACAGTCTGCCTTCAGCGAGCCCCTCCAATTCATATTTGTCCATGTGCCAGAGTCCAAACAAGGTTCTGAAAACAGCCGACTCTCCATGGTGCATGATGGGTCAAATGTCATGGATGGTGCTGAATTCAGCTTCAGAAAGGCCAGCAGGGCCTTGTGCATGAGCTACATCCATATCCACTCACACAAAGGTTTTTTTGTTTTGTTTTTTGTTTTTTGTGTTTTTTTTTTTTTTGGAGGGGGGAGTTATGGTCTAGCACACACAAGTCATTGACAACGAGCCCCTAAAATCTGAGGATCTGGCAAGGTGTTTTACAATGAGAAAATGCTTGATAATAGCTGTTGAATAAAAACTGACTCAAATTTTGAACCCTGCCCTCATGGCCTCAAGGAACACAAGGTATAGTATGACAGATAAAATGTCATATATCATTGTAATATGATTAAATTGTGAGCAAGATTATTGCTGGGGTCAAGTGCAGTGCCGTGGTAGTTCGGAGGCACCACTGAACTCTCCCAGGTTGGAGGCAGAGGGTTGGTAAAGAAAGGTAGCTGGGTGGTGGTGGCGCACGCCTTTAACCCCAGCATTCAGGAGGCAGAGGCAGGTGGATTCCTGTGAGTTTGAGGCCAGCCTGGTCTACAGAGCGAGTTCCAGGATAGCCAGGGCTACACACAGAGAAACTGTATCTCAAAACAAATAAAAAAGGTTTCCTTAGGCTAGCAAGATGGTTCGGCAGATAAAGGCACTTGCCTTCCAAGTCTGACATGATGGGAGGAAGCCTACAAGTAGAGTAGGAGATGCACCTGGAAATGTGGGATCAGGGAGCTGCCAGAAGTAGCCAAAGATCCTGACAGGCTGAGATGCTCAGATTATGTAAAGAGAAGGAAAATGAACAAAAGCTGAGATGGGTGTTGGAAGAAAGGATCCATGCAGTCCCAAACTCCAGTTTAGAGTATGGTCCTCTCTGCTCTTATAGCCGCTGACGATCTGAGTTTGACCCCTGGCATCCACATAAAGGTAGAAGAGAAGTGACCCCATAAAGTTGCCCTCTGCCTCCACTTCCAAATGCACACAAGCCCTTCACATGCACATAGGAACCCCACACCTCTGACTTCTGTGGGTAACTGTTCTCTCTCTCTCTCTCTCTCTCTCTCTCACACACACACACACACACACACGCACGCACACACACACACACACACACACACACACACACACACACACACTTTAAGAGCAGAGGCAGGAGTATCTCTGTGTGTTCCAGGATAGCCTGGTCTACAGAGCAAGTTCCAGGACAGATAGGGCAGTTACACAGAGAAACCTTGTCTTGAAAAACCAAAACGAAAAGAAAAGATTCCTGGAGAAGTTGCGTGGCATCTGAGTTGGGTATTTAGAAAAGAAAGATAATGAAAACATTTAGCACCATGGTGGGCCACAAACATTAATAACCGAAGTCAAACCTGATTGGGTTCCTTAGATGAGGCCTCTTGGACCCTTCTAAACTAGGCATTACCCTTTAGATCAGAAATCGTCTAGAAGGTTCTCAAAGAGAAGTTGGGATAGCAGAATTACCTGGAGCCATGGGATATGGCTGTATGCTGCAGAATTAAAACTAATTCGATACATTCAATTAACCTATACAGCCACCCTGCTGAATGTTCACTGCACAGTCCTCAATATAGACATGAAATGACCTTATTCTTTTGTGATTTGTTGAGGCCATGGGGATCCCCTGAGCATGAGCTGCAGAACTAACAGATGTCCTCTATCCTATGCTGCGTACCTGGGAACAATAGCAGTATCTGGAAGACTGGAAGAGGCTCGATAAGTGCTCATTAAACGGACGGACTGGAGCCCCGCGTCCATTCTCACGCTGTCCCAATTCTTTACACCCAGTCTCTCTGCCCCATCCATGCTCACAGCAGTCTTCAACATGGCCTAATATGAAAACTGGGCTCGGTCACGCTCTGCAAAACATTTTTTACATCTCTTTACTTATTACATGTGCATTTGCATACATGCGTATGCCACGGCACACATGGGGGACAGAGGACAACTTGGAGGAGATGGGTCTCTTCTTCTACCATGTCAATTCTGGGAGCTCAACTCAGATCATCAGATGTGGTGGCAAATGCCTTTACCCACTGAGCCATCTGGCCAGCCTCTGCTCAAAATATCCCATGCCTCTTCTTTGCCTAGAATATGATTCTCCTTACTGTGGCTACCATCCACCTTCCCATGGAGCTCCTAGCTCTTCTTCAAAGGTGGGGTCGTATTTTGCCCACTTCCACACTTTCTTAGGCAGGATTATAATATTTTTCCTCACTCACTGGAGCGAGAGCACCTCAGACAGGGACTCCTCATTTTCATTTCCCGGTCTCTAGTCCACAGCCTAGCATGCCATAGGTATGAAATAAATACAGAAAGCAAACACGAGTGGCTTTCTAGGCACCGAGACTTAGATTTTAAAAGGCAGTAAAAAGTTTGGAGGAAAAAAAATGAGTATTTTAGGACTGGGAGTGTAGCTCAGTGGAAGAGTTCTTGCTTGGCACCTATGTCCCTGGATTTAGTCTCCAGCACTGAAAATCAAGAATGGCAGTGGCAGAGCGGGTTGGGGGGGCAAAAAAGTATAATCTAACTGGAACATTAGGGGAAAAGCAAGAGACAAAACAGAGTGGTTTCTTGGGTGAGGTTTTGCAGACCTGGAAGTTGGAAAAAGAAAGTGGTCATACTTTGGCAGGCAATGGGGGAGCCATCAGAGTCTCTCTCATATATATAATCAAACATTCATGCTCAAATTTGTCTCCTACTTACCCGTGGGCCCCTCTACCTACTCAGCCCTAGGCTCCCCCAGTGTCTTTACCTGCCCCCTCTACCCAAGACCTGACTGTGGCAGGATTTAGACACAGGTTTCTTGTCTTCTCAGCCCGACTACACCAGGGCCCCAGCTCCCCTTCTTTCCCCTTCCCTCCCGAGGCTGGGAAGCAAGCCAGGCCTAGCAGAGACTGGCAGGCAGAAGCTGGGTGGTGCCACGGAGAACCTATACAGTGCCAGGTGGTGCCTTGGGCTCCAAGCTGAGCTGGTGATTCCGATAACCTCCTGCCTGTGAACACACCTGCCTCTTGCCCCAACCCTACCTCTTACCCGAACTGTGTCCAGGCTTTGATATCGGGGAGGGGGGCACAGGGCCAGGCAGACCTGTGGGACTTTGGCTCCATCTCTGCAAAAGGGCATTCCGTGAGTCAGCCTGCTCCCCTCAAGGCTTGCTCCTCCCCCAACCCAGCTCCTATTTCCGATGCACGTACAGCCCGTACACTCCACACCGTGTCCTGGGACACCCCAGTCAGTCGCATGGCTTCCCTGGGCCCCAGACCCCGGCCCTCTTTGTTGATCCCAGCCCCTACTGTGCTGCTGCTGGTGGTGCTGCTTCTGCTGCCCCTAGTGTCTGCGCATCCCCAGGGCCTGTCCGGATTGCAGGGGGAGCCCTCCTTGGGAGAAAGTTCATCTGGGGAGGATGATCTGGGCGTGGAGGATCTGCCCAGTGAAGAGGATGCACCTGGAGCGGCTCCACCTGAAGTTAATGCTGAAGCTGAAAAGGAGGATTCCCCGAAGTTAGAGGATCTGCCCACTGTTGAGGCTCCTGAGGACAGTCATGGCTCCCACGAGGACGGAAAACGTAAGTGATCATCAGCTTCCAAACTGAGGCTCAGGTAGTTTTAGACCTCTCCTCCCCACACCCCAACCCTAGCAAAGCATGCAGGAAGGAGGCTGTGCTCTAATAGGCAGCCCTTCTCCCTAAAGGGGAGAATAATTGGGAGAGATGGCAAAGAAAAAGGGAGGAAGTTGAAGAGGAACTAGAACTGAGGAATGGACGGAGAGGGGAAAATTGTAGAGAGAGAAAAAAGAGGAAGGCAAGAGGAAGAGAGGAGAGGAGAGGAGAGGAGAGGAGAGGAGAGGAGAGGAGAGGAGAGGAGAGGAGAGGAGAGAAGAGAAGAGAAGAGAAGAGAAGAGAAGAGAAGAGAAGAGAAGAGAAGAGAAGAGAAGAGAAGAGAAGAGGGTCCCAGAGGACCTACAGAGAGCATACAACTGTTACTCACAATTTTCAGTGCAGGAAGAACCAAACAGGCAGAGGAACTTTGATTTGTTTTTTGGGGGGTGGGGAGGTAAGGGATGAGGCGGGGTCTTATCGTATAGATCGGGTTGGTCTTGAACTATTTTCTGCCGTCTACCTGTCTCTACCGCTGAGTTCCAGGATTTCAGGTGTGCGTCACCACACTTGGCTCTAAGTTAGGGACGCTTGGAAAGCTGGAGACAGGAGAAAGAGGAAGGTGAGCCGCGTAAAGGGAAAAGGACGACCTGCTGGCTTGGATCTGCTAACTGAAGCTGCTCTGCAGACCCTAGTATTTGCTGGTCTGCTGGTCACTCCCCAGAGGCCGAGTCACAGTTGGTGGCAGGCCACCGTGCTTTGCACCTAGCTTGCTTCATTCGTTACCTGCACACTCTTGTAAGACAGCCAGCCGGGTCTGTGAGGTCCCACCAGAGCCGGAGGGAATCTCCTTATTCTGGGCACCGAGAAGGGACTGGGCTGTAAGAGTGAGCTTATTAATTCTTCTCATTTATGCAGGGGGTGGCCACGGTCTTTGGAGCTATAGAGGTAAGACACCCACCTCCGACACACACCTAATCTGGGAGTCCAACCCTATTGATCTACTCCCCCACCCCCTCCCCGCCTCCCGCCACCTCCCGCCACCTCCCGCCACCTCCAATACTAGCTCTAGTCTGGACCCACGTCTCTGACCCCACCCCCACCCCACTCCCGCCTCTAAGCTTCCTGACTCCACCCCCTGCTTATCCTAACGGTTCTTGTCCTAATCATCAGACTTCGTGCACCTTTTTCTCTCATCCCAGGCACCCAACTCTGGCCCCAGGTGTCCCCAGCCTGCGCCGGCCGGTTTCAGTCCCCTATAGATATCCGCCCAGAGCTCACCTCGTTCTGCCGCGCCCTACAACCCCTGGAACTACTCGGCTATGAGCTCCAACCTCTCCCGGAACTGAGCCTGCAGAATAATGGCCACACCGGTGAGGTGTCTGGGGCGGGACCTACGGAGGGGAGTGGCAATTCAGCTGTGCTTGGGGGGTTCTGCTGGCGCTCACGGGTGGGTAGACATTGCTCCCTTGCCACTCTCCACGCAGTACAGCTGACTCTGCCACCTGGGCTGAAGATGGCTCTGGGACCAGGGCAGGAATACCGGGCTCTGCAGTTGCACTTACACTGGGGAACTTCAGATTACCCGGGCTCAGAGCACACTGTGAATGGCCACCGTTTCCCTGCTGAGGTGGGCATCGGGCTGTCCCGAGAGGAACAACGAGGATGTGATTGGAGCGCTGGGCTCATTCTGACCCTTAAACCCTCTCTAGATCCATGTGGTTCACCTCAGTACTGCTTTCTCCGAGTTTCATGAAGCCTTGGGTCGCCCTGGAGGCCTGGCCGTTTTGGCTGCCTTTCTGCAGGTACCACATTTGACACTCCTATCCCATGGGTTCGGTGCATCTTGTTAGCAGGGACTCCATTCCAGCATTCTCAAGCTGGTCAGTTAGCTGTCTGCTCCATTCACACCTTTGTTCATTCAGCAGCAGCAGGGAACCAGGAAGCAGGGTACAAGAAGGCTTCCTTTAAGAAGCCCACAGGGGGGCTGGAGAGATGCCTGCTCTTCCAAAGGTCCGGAGTTCAATTCCCAGCAACCACATGGTGGCTCACAACCATCTGTAATGAGGTCTGGTGCCTCTTCTGGCCTGCAGACATGCAGGCAGAGTACTGAGAATACTGTATGCATAATAAATAAATAAATAAATATCTTTTTTTTAAAAAAAAGAAGTCCACAGGGCTGGAGAGATGGCTCAGCGGTTAAGAGCATTGCCTGCTCTTTCAAAGGTCCTGAGTTCAATTCCCAGCAACCACATGGTGGCTCAACCATCTGTAATGAGGTCTGGTGCCCTCTTCTGGCCTGCAGGCATACACACAGACAGAATCAGAATATTGTATACATAAATAAATAAATATTTAAAAAAAAAGAAGCCCACAGGGCAAAGGCAGAGTCATAAATGAAGAACACTAAAAACAGTGGTCACGGAGGTGGGTCCTTCGCAGGTGGGAAGGGCTGTTGCACAGAGAGAGACCACCATGAGCAAACACAGTATGCACCGTTTCAGGGAACTCCACATGCAACAAATGGGGAGGAGGCATTTCTCGGCTACTTCTGTGAGCCCTCAGGTCCCCGTCATGAAATGCAGTATTCACTGATCTGTGTACCCTTAATGATCAAGAATGCACTTGCCATGGTAGGAGGAAGCCAGGAAGTGAGGAGATGCCATGCCTGTAAGCCTCACTAGTGTAAAGTTCACAGCATCAAGCCAGACAAGTGCCTCAGATATAGCATGCAGGACTCCACTCCAAGAGTCAAACTCATGAATCATTAAAGCAAATACAGAGGCAACACAAGTACAAAACCTATTATGGTTTTCTTCGGGAGACCATGGAGTGTATGTGGAAAGAATGACGAGGGACACTATGAAAGTGAGCAGGGCCCGGATCCCTGAGGGGCCAAGCAACCTCCTTCAGTTTGCCCTTGAAATCCAGGACACCAAGCTAATTCATTTGCAAAGCAAGAGTAACAGCATTTGAATAATCAGATTTTTTATATTTTCCCAGCATCCTCAGAGGTGAGGAATGGGGAAAGACTACTGGAACCCTACGCCATGTTCAGGCCTCTAACTGTGGTCAATCTGCCCTGTACTGTACCCCATGCCCGCCCCTGCAGGAGAGTCCAGAGGAGAACGGTGCCTATGAACAGCTGCTGTCGCATTTGGGAGAAATTGCAGAGGAAGGTCAGTTTGTGGCTTCCTCAGGAGCCGCCCATCTGAGGATGGACACGAGGAAGGAGTTGAGGGTGAACTGGCTCTGAATTGGTAACGATGGCGAAACTGCTGAGAGACAAATGGGAACAGGGAAACTACTGCCCGCAATTAGAAATCAAAACCAAACAGAAGATACAATTAGACGACAAAGCCGAGTTGGGGCTGGGCATGGTGGCACGTGCCTTTAGTTCAAGGCCAACCTGGTCTACATATGAGTTCCAACAGTCAGGGGTATATAGTGAGACCGTCTCAAAAACAAACAAACACAACAATAAGTAAAGTAGAGAGGAAAAATGTTTAATGTTTAAAACATAGGATTGAGTGTGGAAAGCTAAACTGACTTTGAGAACTGTCTACCATTTATGAACATCAAACATTTTATGTTTGTGAATGTTTGAGAGCAGGGCATGGGAGAGAAGGCTGACAATCCAGTGCTTGGGATGCTGGCTACATACCAAGTTGGAAGCCAGTCTAGGTTACACGAGACCATGTCTCTGAAAGGCTAGGGGTTTAGCTTAACGGCAGAGCAAGGGCATGTGTGACACCCTAGGTCTGGCACTGAAAACCCACTTTAGCTGAAAAGTTAGCTCCCTTCTCAGTGACTGAGTTATTTTAAATCTCAATTTACTAGACTTTAGGTTTTTGATAAACTAAAACACATAGAGCTTTGTGTCTTTTTGTTTTGTTTTGTTTTTTCAAGACAGGGTTTCACTGTGGAGCTCTGGCTGTCCTGGAACTCACTCTGAAGACTAGGCTGGACTTGAACTCATAGAGATCAGCTTGTCTCTGCCTCACAAGTGCTGGGATTAAAGGTGTGCGCCAGCACAGCCTGCATTTGTGTCAGTCTTTTCTGGTTACACATATTAAATGTATTTATAAATTATTCTACATATGTGTGCTCACTAGATAGAATACAGGATCTCCACCTGTGCCCTACATCCCAGCTCCACTTTCTCCTTTTATTCCAATCTGGGTTGAGTCAGCAGTCCTGCATGATATGGACGCGTACTCAGAAGACTGAAGGCCTCGAAGGAGGGCTGATGAGCTCTTGTCTTGGGACTGGAGAAATGGCTCAGCAGCACAAGGCCTCCTCTAATTGCCCAAAGCCCTTTACCTCCTTTTGAATCAACCACACATAGTGAGAAGCAGTGAACCTGGGCTTGTGCCTGGAGCTTCCAGGGCACATGATCTAGGTGAGACCTCAACACAGACCCTCTCCACAGGCACACAGATCCAGATCCCAGGTCTGGATGTCTCTGCATTGCTGCCCTCGGACCTCAGCCGCTACTATCGATATGAAGGGTCCCTAACCACACCTCCCTGCAGCCAGGGGGTCATCTGGACTGTGTTCAACCAGACAGTGAAGCTGAGCGCGAAGCAGGTGAGAGTCGGGTGCGGTACTGACATGGGGCGTTGGAAAAGGGGAACGTAGTAAGAGAGGAGGACGAGTCAAGGGGCCGTGTCGTGAAGGGAGACGGAGGGCTGGGGACCCCTTGCTCCTTTTTGTCTCGTACTATCTACCGACCCTCCCTCTCCCAGCTCCATACTCTCTCTGTTTCCCTGTGGGGACCTCATGATTCTCGGCTACAACGGAATTTCCGAGCCACACTACCTTTGAATGGGCGAAAGATTGAGGCTTCTTTCCCTGCCGAAGTGGACAGCAGCCCTGAGCCAGGTGCGCAGTTGTCTGATGGTCCATGTTGCCACGCCCCCTAGTCACGGGTCCCTCCTCTTCCCGTGTCTTTGTGCTACAGCCCTGTCACAGGTACTCATGGGCCTGGCTCTAATGTCTCCTTTTTCTCTTCAGTCCACACGAATTCCTGCCTTGCTGCTGGTGAGTTGGGGGTCCCTCTTGTTCCTGATGCTGGGGAACACCCTTTAGTATCCTTCAGTCTGGGAGTGAGTATTTTATTTTTCTGCAGAATAAATGGCCCTAAACCAATGATAGATCAAGTAGGGACCCCCACCCCCCATCCCCGTACCTCTGCTTTAGTTTATCAGGGCGAGGCCCCGGAACTCTTCTGCGATGCCCCTCCCTCCCCCAACACCCCTTTTACCTAGCAGATGGAGGAAAACGGGTGCTTTTCTTACACTATCCACCTCCAACCTCCAGCTGGCCTGCTCTGGAGACTGAAGCCCTGGGGCTGCTTGAGCACTCACTCGGGCAAAGGGTCACGAGTATAGGAAGTCAACTTGGAGGGAAACCCACTTTCTGAGGCAGCTCGTCCTTTCCCCTAGGTGACATCCTAGCCTTGGTGTTTGGCATTCTCTTTGCTGTCACCAGCGTGGCCTTCCTCATACAGCTGTGGCAGAACAGGTATCTTTGGTCCTCCTTTGGCACAGCCTCTTTTGTAGAACCCAGAATTCCAGGACTGCCAATGAGCTCATTCAGGGCTGGCTTTCTGATTCTAGTTCCCTGTTCTATAGGCACAGAAGTGAGACCAAAGATGGAGCTAGCTACAGCCCAGCGGAAATGGCAGAGACTGGAGCCTAATAAGGAGAAGCCAGCTGAGGGTTCTGAAAACCTTGTCCTGTCCTGCCCATTATACAACTCCTTTTAACCACTAAAGAACCTTCCTCATCTTTTTAACTTTTCTTCTTTTCCTTAAAGTACTGCAATGGGATCTTATAGTGAAAAGCCCAGGCTGGACTCAATTCTTGTTTTGTTTGTTTGTTTTGTTTTTTTGAGACAGGGTTTCTCTGTAGCCCTGACTGTCTTGGAACTAGCTCTATAGACCAGGCTGGCCTCAGAGATCTGAATGCCTCTGCCTTCTGGGTGCTGGAATTAAAGGCACACACCAGCACTGCCTGGCAATGCTTGCTCTTACTATGCGGTCAAATGCTCTACTACTAAGTAATACACCCCTTGATCTTACTATGGAGGCCAGGCTGACGTTGAACTGAGTGTGTGGGTAATGGAGTTTGAACCCAGTCTCTTGTTCTGACTAGGCAAGTGTTCTACCACTGACTAAGCTTCTAGCCCCTTCCCTTGAACGCTCCAGCCTGTCTCAGCCCCTTGAATGCTGGGGTTACAGGCATGCACCATCATGCCTGGCTCATCCTGATTATTTTTAAAATAAATATTTCTAATAAAATATGTATAAGTTGCCTTTGTCCTTGAATCAAAAGGATGTTCTAGTAATTTCCCATGGCTGCTGGGGGAAGAAACATCTCCCACAAGCTCAGAGGTGACACACTTAGAGGCCCCCAGGCAGGGTTGTCCAAGAAGAACTTTATGCGCTAGCCCAGGTGTGAGTGGGCTATGTTCTTCCTGGCTTTCTCAAGTTGAACACACCAACTTTCAGATTTTAGAATCTGCCTGCTTTCCTTGCTCACGGCCCCTTCCTTCTCTTCACTATGCCGACCCCTCACTTCCACTGTTCCATCTTCATTACTGCCTTTCACCTTATTCCCAGCCCCTCTTTTCCCTTCTTGACAGTCTTCTGCTGTAGCTTAGACTGGATCAAGCCTACAGGGCCTGCACCATCATGCATGGCTTTTCCCTAAAGCTCTGAGGACCTTGGGATGATACTGTGCCTGACCCCTAAACCCAAACCAACCTCCTCCATTTCCAGTTCTTTGCTCAGGCACGCAGTGTCTCTTCCTGGCTAACATGGCATTTCCCAGGATTAGAATATGGACCTTGTTGGGGCAAGAACACAGAGCAGTTTGAGTCAGATGGTTGGCTTAGTCACACGGAGTGAGCCTTTTGGGCTTTCACCCTGTTGAAATATCTGCCCCTTTTTGAAGTTTTGCCTTTAGAATGTCTGGCCCAGTAACTATTGAAGCAGAGGCTGGGCCATGGATGGTGGCTCTGCCCTGTGAGGACTAGAGGCCGGGACAGTTTCCTACCCGCTAGGGAACCGCTACACAGGATTGTTTGCCGAGTCCCAGATCCACACCTCAGAACTCCCATTGCAAAGGGGATCCCACTGCAGGGATGGGAGCCAGGCCCTGACCATTCAGGGCCCCTCCCAGCACTGCTGCCAACCAAAGAAAGGCTTAAAAGGGCCCTGGCATGCCAGGAACATCAGTTTATTGGCCTGAGGAGGGAACTATGTAGTCTGGTAGGCAGCAGGGCCAGCCCTTACAGGTTGTTGAGTTCCAGAAGGGTCTGGTCCAAGGTCTGGTGAATCTCCACGTTCTCTTCCTTGGCACTAGCCAAAGTCTCTGTGAGGGGAAGCAACAGGTGAGGTGGGGGAGGGGAAACTGGAGGCAGGAACATGAGGGAGGGAACCAAGGACAGGGATGGCAACACATACAGAAACATGTTAGGAGATAAACACATACAGAAACATGTTAGGAGACACTTTGGGGACCTGGGGCAAATGGGTAGACCGACCGGACACAGAAGGCTTGGGTGGCATCAATGGCCTGGGGAGGCCTGTATTGTAAACAGGTGGCCTTCCTTTAGAAGGTTTAGGAAAATTGAAAACAGAAGGAAAGACAAAGGTTCAGTCAAGAAAGGGAGGTTCAGACAGACAGAATTGGGACAGAAAACAGACCTGCAGTTGCTGTAAAAGCCCCTCTTGCTGAGATCCAATACTTTTTCGACTTCACAAGGACCTTTTCTGACCTTCTGGCCCCTCCCCTGTGTCTCACTACCTCATCTCCCTTCCAGCCATTCCATCAGATTCTAGAATCCCAGTTAAGTGCTCCAAGGTCAGTGATAGACTGCAGAGGGGAAGGGGGGCGGTGCTTGATGGACCCACTTATATCACATGCATGGATTCTCAGTGACAGGCTGGGGGTGCCATGCAGAAGGATCTGTGTGGGGGCTGAGTGTCACAAGACCGAGGACGTTGGTAAAAGCCAGGGTCTCAGGAGTAAACGGTGCTTTGACAGTGATGATGGAGGACTCTCTGGGGGGCAGGAAAACAGCATGGAGACCGAGTTCAGAGTTTATTAAATAGTAGAGAGGAGGGAGGTCAGTGGATGGTGGATAGATAGCAGGGGAAAGCCAGTGCCAGAGTAGGTGGCAGGAGTGACAGGCGTGCTCCCTCAGCTGCCCTCAGCCTGGCTACGCAATGTTGTCCATTTGTGCTCCTCTTGGCTGCCCCCACCCCCTCAGAGAGAATGGAAAGAGAGACGAGAAGGAGCCAGCAACGACCACAGTGGTATGGACTCAGAGAGAGGTGATGTCATTGAGCGCGTTGTCCAGCTCCTCGCTGATGGCCTTGTACTTCATCTTCTGTGCATAGACCTCATCTGGGGAGTCCGAAGAGGAGGGGAGGAGGAGATGGAAAAGGGGAGGAGGGAGCATGGGGAAGAGATGGAAGAGGGAAAGAGGAGATGGAGAAGGGGCGGGAGGAAACACATGGAGAGGAGGGGAGGAGGAAGGGGAGAGGAGGAGGGAGCACAGTGGGGGAGAGAAGGAGGAGATGGATGATGGGGAAAGGAGCACGGGGAGGAGATGGAGAAGGGGAGGGGGAAGGAAACACATGGGGAGGAGAGGAGCATGGGGGGAGCACGGAGAGGAGATGGAGGAGGGGAGGAGAAGAGGGAGAGAAGGTGATGAAATGGAAAATAGAATCAGAGAGATGAACAGAAGAGAGGCCAGAGGACAGACCAGATGGCAGTCAGGGCTTCCTCTTCCCCTTTCTCTCCCCTGGCTTCTTTTTGTCCTCTGCACCCCAACTTCTCTCTCCCGCTGCAGCATCTCCCAGGAGCCTGTGGGCAGTGCTCTGAGCAGGCAGCCATGCAAGCTTAAGAGGGAAAGGAAGGGTGCTGGCCAGAAAAGTCTAAAGTCCTAAAGTTGGAGATAAAATTCCTGCTTGCTGAGAAGACTGGAAACAAGAGACATGGGGATTAATGGAAGTAAAAGGTTATCAGAATAAAAGAGAAAGGCGACCTTTGTTGATAATAGCAGTAACCACAGACCAGCAGATACCTGGATTTCTGGTTTTGCTAAGGCTAGCTCAAAGTAGCATCTTCCATTAACAGTATTGTGTAAATCCTGACATTTGATCAAATAGTGACTGGGCATATAGCTCAGTGGCAAAGAACTTGCCTAACATGTAAGAAGCCCTAGGTTCAATCCCCAGCACTGAATTAAAAAAAAAAAAATCAAATATCTCTGTATTCAGTAAAGAAGTCTTGTGGCTGCAGACAGGTCTGCGGTAGAGCTCAGGTCTAAAACATACAAGGCTGTGAGTTCCATCCCCAGCACAAGGGGGTGGGGCGTCTCTGCAATAAGACCATTGCATTGTCCTTAGTGATAGCATTTGCTACACTAGTGTTATGCAAGACCAGCAGCATCAGCATGAAGGAGCCTGTAATCCCAATATTGTGGAGCCAGATTCCAGGGGATTGCCACAGTTCTGAGGCCAGCCTGGTCTACAGAATAAGATCCTGTCCACTGAAAACAATCATTTGGAGTATAAGCTGCTTGTTTGGTCTCTCTCTCTCTTTTTCTTTTTTCTCTTCTTCTTCCTCCTCCTCTTCTTCTTCTCTATTTCTCTTTACCTCCCATGTGACCTACCACTCCAGCCCTCAGAAATCCAATTTTGAAAATTGTGTGACTATATAATGATTTGTGTGTGTTTGTGGGTGTCTGTGTGGTGGTCAGAGGTCAACTCTGACGTTGGTCCTTAACTTCTATCCTGTTTGAGACCAAGTCTGATCATCATGTCGCATTCCAGACCAGTTTGATCTTCTAGCAATCCTCCTGTCTCCACCCCCATTTCCTCTCCTATAGTGTAGGAGTGTTGGGACTGCAGACATTGGCTACTGTGTCTAGCTTTTACATGCGTTCTGGGTTTCAGAATTCATGTTCTCACGTTTGTGGGATGTGTTTTACCCACTGAGTCACTCTTCCAAGCCCAGGAACATGTTTTCTTTTTTTAGATTTAAAAAAAAAAAAAAAAACGTGCTGGGCAGTGGTGGCGCACACCTTTAATCCCAGCACTCCGAAGGCACAGGCAGGTGGATCTCTATGAGTTCGAAGCCAGCCTGGCCTACTGAGGTACAGGATAGTCAGGGATACACAGAGAAACCCTGTCTCAAAAAAAAAAAAAGAAAAAAATTCACACGTATGGGTGTTTTGTCTGCAGGTCTGTGTACTATGTGTATGCATGGTCATCAGAGGCCGGAAGAGGGTGTCAGGTCCTCTGGACCCGGAGTTTCAGACGCTTATGAGCCACCATGTAGATGCTGGGACTCAAGCCTAGGTCCTCTGGAAGAGCAGCCTGTGCTCTTAACCACTGAGCCAGCTCTATAGCCCCCATCAATCTGTTTTTAACTTTTCAGATAATCATTCATTCTAAGCCCAGAAAAGCACTGGAGCGGCCTGTCATAATTCCTTGGAATGTGGACACGGCCGGCCAGAGTCTGCAGAGCCCTGGGTAATTAACAAATACGATGAGATAAGGGGCAGGCCCAGGGGCATGGGTGCGGAGGGGCAGGCTGAGGGGTATGGGTGCGGAGGGGCAGGCTGAGGGGGATGGGTACGCAGGGGCATCCCTTTTACCTTCTAGGTCATCGATGGTCTTCTCCAGCTTTGCCACAGATCTTTCAGCAAACTCTGCTCGGGTCTCAGCCTGCGATCAAGACGGATAGGAGACACGGTCAAGAAAGAGGCCTTCCCAGAGAGTCTCCCAGCCGTCACCCCTCCTTCTTGTCTCAGAGCCTCAGTTTCCCCGCAGTGGCAATCTCACCTCCTTCAGCTTCTCCTCCAAAAGTTTGATCTCCTCTTCATACTTGTCCTCTTTGGTGGAATACTTAAAGAGACACACACATGCTGTCAGTGAACTGCTTCCTGCTCCCTGAACCCTGCAGCTCCCCATGAACCCCGCGGGCTCCTACCGACCTTCACAAGCACCTAGCCCTCCCTACCTAAGCCCTCTTTTCCGCGCCACATGACCCCAAGACCCAGTCCTCACTGCCCCTCTGCCCCTGCTACCTTGTCCGCTTGGGCTTCCAGGGATTTCAAGTTGTTGGTAACAATTTTCAGCTCTTCCTCTAGGTCCCCACATTTACTGCAGGGGTGTGTGGCAGGATGGAGCGTGAAGGGGCAGTGAGGTGAGACAGGGGTGGAGGGTGGGGGGGGGGGTGGCACAGTGGGGGAGGGGTGGAGGAGAAAAGAGAAGAGCCAAGTGG